AAAAAAAAAAAAAAAAAAAAAAAAAAAAAAAAAAGACGTGCAGCTTCTGCAAAAGAAAAATCCATTTGATTTCTCTTCTGGGACATAACTCTTGTGTCCGGCCTTTTTCAGCTTTCATCGCCGTCATATTTTCCCACACTACATTTTGTATAAAAGAAGCTAAAAAACGCGACTTTTATACCGATTTCTTTACGCTCCCTTATTTTTCGCGCGTCTTCGTCTCCCTCTTTTTTTACGTGCCACCAAATAGCAGCCACCTTCATCTTAGTACTTTTATATTATTGAAAAAATTATTATTTTTTTTTTTTGTAAAGTTCGGAAACGAAAAAAAAACACTTGCAAATTTAAACATTTGCTCGGCGTTCCAACTTTTTTTTTTCAAACTAACGATTTTTGATATAAATTTAATTTGTAAAAACCACCTGATATATAATTTATATATCTGATAACATTTTATCTTTTATCAATTCAAAACAAAAAAAAAAAAAAATCATTTTTTCAACGCATACAGTTCTTTCCCTTTTTAATTTTTTTTTTTAACATAGATCCGAATTTTTTTCCTTTTTACACTATATTCTTCTTCTCGATAGAAACTTTTTTTTTTTTTACTTACAACCTATACTTTTATTCATAAACAATGCAAGACCCTCGAGTGCTAACGTATATGGAACGTCACGAATTAAATACTTTGTTTCCAGAGCTTGAAGGTGCGCTGCTTCGTTACCAACCTTCAGATCCTTACGAATTCGTTGTCGGTTGTGTCCGATCTGTTCAACAAAAGAAGAGGGAGTCGAAAGAGTCGCTACTGTACTCGGTAAAGTATCTATTCTATTTTTTTTTGTTGTTTACGTAAAAAAAACTTACCTTTTTCGTTTATGCCAAAGCGGAGTTACCGTTTTATGCACTGTTCCCTTTTCGTATTTATTCCTCCGACTTGGAAACAATTTCACCGTTTTGTCATATGCGACAAAGCCACAATAGCACTGACCCAACTACTGAATATGTTAACTAACCTGTACTTCTCTCCTTTTTCTCTTTATATTTACGCGCACGCGCATCTTTACTCGCGTTCAATAAAATTACTACGCCCAATTACTTCGCCACTGAAATTTTATAACTTTTCTTACTTTGAATCAAAAAAAAAAAAAAAAAAAAACTTTTTTTTTTTTTATTTAAGAATGGAGATCAGAACTCCGCCCTACTTTTCTACACATCCTTCGGGGCCAAACTTTGATCAGTATGTATCTCATCAACAAACTGACGAAAACCCGGTTCATCAACGGCGCACCACCTTACCTCCATCTCCGCCGAGTAATCATCCCTTGCATATCATGCGTAACAATCAAACCCGTGTCATAACCCCTAGAAAAGGACGCCGAATGTCCGTAAGCGCCGAATCGATGAGACCATCAGAAAATGTCGATGAACGTACAATTATATATAAATCCGACGAAGCTAAAAAGCGGATTGATGAAGCTACTACCCTCAACTTGTTGTTCAAAAATCTCGATCGCGAAACAAAACAGCACGTTGTAAGTGTTCTACACGTTACTTTGTCCTACATCACATGATATATTAATTTTTATGTCATGTGACTTGGAATCAGGTTGATGCAATGTTCGAAAAATCCGTAGTGGCGAATGAAATTGTGATTAAACAAGGAGACGAAGGCGATTATTTTTACGTTATCGAACATGGTTTATTCGAAATCTTTGTCAATGGCCAATTAGTTCTAGAAATCGGTGATGGTGGAAGTTTTGGAGAACTCGCGTTAATGTACAACGTAAGTGATACTATATAATGTCATACCTTCTTTCATAAATAAAGTTGTATATCTTATACTTACCTCTGTTATGACAGACACCACGTGCTGCAACCGTAAGAGCAAAGACGAATGGAACATTATGGGCCGTTGGCAGAGAAACATTTTTACGTACCATTACCAATTCTGTATATCGAAAACGCAAAGCTTATGAAGACTTTTTAAGATCCGTTTCATTCCTTTCGACTTTAGACAGGTCCGAAATCACGAAATTAGCCGATGCCTTGGAACCTAACAACTATGATGATGGTGATACTATCATAAGTCAGGGTGAACCTGGTGAACACTTTTATATTATCGAACAAGGCACAGTTAGCATCAGTAAGATTAGTGATACAGGTATTGAACAACAATTGCCAAGCCTTAATGTTGGCTCTTATTTTGGAGGTAATTAATTTAAATCAATATAAAAAAAAAAGATATATTATAAAAATATACTAATCGAATTTCGTATATGTGAATAGAGCTCGCACTCATAAATGATCAACCACGCAAAGCAACTGTTGTTGCAAGAGGTTCTGTACGTGTAGCAGCTCTCAGAAGAGATGCTTTCGTTCGTCTATTAGGACCTGTTATGGATATTTTCCGAAGAAATGCTGCAGAATATAATTTGCAACAAGGTCGACCACAGGAATCTAGTGATAATCACGTGTCATCACAAATTAATGGTGATGAAAGCATGGCTGTTGATATTGAGGACGAATATCCGCGTAGGAGAAGCGGGTACAGTGGAGCCGGTGGTGTAGATGTATTGTAATAAACCTTACAAAATCTAACAACCATATTGGGATATCTGGTTTTGGAAATGATTGCGGGATTATAATTTTATGATTATCTTATTTTAAGATCAAAAAAAAAAAAAAAAAAAAAAATACCGAATAAGTGCATTTATTTATATATAAGTCAAGTTCTGAAAAAGTTTGCAATAAAACTTCCAATCAAATCACATTACGAAATTACAAAAAAATCAGTTCCAAAAAAGTAAATCCAATAAANTTAAAAAAAAAAAAAAAAAAAAAAAAAAAATCATAAGTAACACTCATAACATATGCGGGGTATTATATCACTCAATTTCTCTTCTTTATGCTTATATAATTAAGGACTTTTCCCCTTTCAATTTCCTTTTATAATATTTTCACTATCCCCTTGGTTTATCACTTTTTTTTTAATTACCCACTAAACATTTAAAATTTTTTGCTTTCATCACTTTTTCGTCACGTCATTTAATATCGTTTTAAAAAAAAATTTTTTTTATTTTTATTATTCATATGCCATAAATTTACAAATAACGGCCGGAGCACTTTTTTTTTTTAATTAAAAATTAATTAAATATTTCTTATGCACCCGACAAAAACAACGCTAACTTATATGGAATCTAAGGTTGTCCCCAATGGGGACTTTATTATTTTATTTTTATTTTTGCGTTGTTTTTGTCGGGTTTCGTATTTTTTCGTCGTTTAACTTATCTGTATGGAAAAAAAAAAAGTTGTTTTGGTTGTAAATAAAGGTTTCTTGATAAGATTTTTTTAAGGTAATAAAGTGTGTGCTAACACGCGGAAATGTCAAATGATTTACCTTGTATTTACTGTCTTAAGGAATGTGCTACCAGCATAGTGAGAGATTTATGGGGGGGATGATGGTGAAAAAAAAGAATATAGATTGAGATGGAAGATCCATTGGCGCAACTAAATGATGGGAATGGATAATGAGGAGATTGATCTTCGCAGAATTATTTTACACATGAATTGCAGGATTGTGGGAAAAGATACGGAAAGAATATAAGAATACTTCTTGGCTTATATTTTTTTCTATTTCGCGTAAGTTGGTTTAAATTTTTGTGATATTCGGCATTTGCTTATAATTATTTTTTTTTTAATAACGATTTTTGGTTTTTGACATGTTGATCACAAATGAGAATGACATAAGGTGTAACTTGTTACTTAAATGTAAGTGGACTTTTTTGAACAATCTTTAATGTTTTTATGTATGCCGATCACGTGGAGAATGGGGCTACTTATTAATAACAATGATCATATTGTATGCATTTACCTACAATGAACTTCTTAGTGAGACAAAAAAGAAATGAAGAAAAAAAAAATAAAGAATGTAATTTACGAGAGAAATTCAGGATCTCAATAGAAAACATAATAACGCGAAAGGGAGTTAACGGTAGGAATTCAAGAAAAAAAAAATTATAACGAATGAGTTTGTTTATAGGTTAATTATAAGAACTTAAATGGTTGAATCTTACTTAGAATAGTAAATATTATTGAAAGGAGCGTGTTAATTTAACATTCGATGAAACATATTGAAACCTTTGAAACAATAATATTTGTCGTGATTTTTCGTTTATTTCATTGTAGATATAATGCCATATATTGAAAGAGCAGAAAGTTCATTTTGAGTGGGCTTTTATATCACGTAAAAATCGGGTGGCGCGGTACGTAATGTAATATTTGATAATCACACCACATTTTCCACATTTATAATCAAAAATTTTTTTTTTGTAATTTTCGCAGTGAGACGTGACTCAACATCAAAGGTCAGATAATATTTATGCTCGTACATAAAAAAAAGTTATTGACCACACCAAATGTTACTAATTTAAGGTATCCGTGATTCGGCGAAACTTTACTGTCAGCCTGCATGATAATTACAATGAATTTTGGTGCACTGCATTTCTTTAAATGACAACTTTCTTCATTCAAAGTGCTGCGCCATTAAAAGAATGGATTTATATGGAATAAGAGCGCGCGTTTATGTTTTGAATGAATTATTCTTTTTCATGCTTTTCATGGTAAGGAACATGTGGAATTTTCGTATATTTAGAAAAAAAAAAATTTCACCAGAATTAAGAAGTTGAGGCCTGCAGAAATTATGAAATTATACAGCTTACATAATGCTATTAATGATTATTGGTGTGGAGAAAAAAAAAAATTTTTTTTTTTTTTCAAAAACATTATATATAATGAGGGAATTCCGAATTGAAAAAAAAAAAAATTAAAAAATTAATTTAATAAATAAACAAATAAATACAATATATTTAAATATTATAATATTAATATTAAAAATGTTTACTAATATAATCTTCTTAAAAATTATATGTAAAAAAAATTTAATGAAAAAAATAATAAATATGTATAATATTATTAATATAAAAAAAAATCATTTAAAATTATTCAAAAAAGTTTTTAGTTATATTTTTTTTGGTTAAAAATTTATTATTATTATTATTTATTTATTTATTTAAAATATTTATTAATAATTAGAATAATATAATGCAAATCTAATAATTTTAACAAATTATAATAATTCTAAAAATTCAAAATTCTGATTTTTTTTATTATTACTTTAAACATTTACTGTATAGTATTGCATAAAATATCCTTCTTTATGAATATTTCTGATCCAAATATATTACATGGTCTAAAAATCTTAATTCTAGTAAAATAAACTAATTTTGATCATATATTTTACAAAGTATATACCTTTAGCAGGTATTATTCAATTTTTAAATCAGATATTTTGTAAAATACTTAATATTATTCTAATAAATTATATTATAATAATATAATACAAAAATTTTAAAAAAATTTATAACTTTATTATAAAATTAGATTTTATATAATATATAAAATAATTTATCCAATTAACAAATATATTCAGAATTAATTTAAAATTTTTTTGATTAAATAATATTCTAAAATTAATTTAAATTATTTTATTATTTACATTAAGTATTGTTAAATATCACTGCTAGTGATTATTATCTTACATACTAGAATTAAAAAATGTCATAAAATTTCCATCCATTAATATTTGCTAATGCTGAATCATTTATGATAAGATTTAGTAATACCATTATTATTACTACTAGTATTATAATTATTATATAGTATTATATTATTATTAATTATACAAATATCAATCATTTTCTTTTTTGGTAATACTTGTTTTACAAAAACTTATTTTTGTAATTTTTATTTTTTACCTTCAGTTCTAATCATTTTTGTTTACTATAACAAATATTTATAAAAATAAAATATTTCTTTATAGTAAACTTTATATTAATATAATAAAAATTTTCTTTTAACAAAAATATTTTATTAATTTTTAATTTTAAAACTTTAAGAATTTCCAATTTTATGTATATTTAGACTAATAAATCATTTTTATAATTTCTTAAAACTTTCTTTATTAATAATAATATTATTTTTTATTTTTTATTTTTTTTTATATTATTATTTTTAAAATTTAAAATTAGTATATTTATAATTTTTTTATATATCTAATAATGGTTCTATTGGCATTTTAAATAATTCCATTGTTATCATCAAAAGCATTTGATTTCACTACAAAAGATATGTCTAATGAAGAAAGAAATTATAATGCTAGTTATATCTATTTTCGTATTCAAGAAGAAGAATGGTCATTAATACCATTATTACCTGGATATATAGTTTTTACTACCGCTGGTAAAAATTGGTTCAAATTATTAATTCTAGAAAGTAATAATCAATTACTTTTCTTTTGAAAGGAATTTAGTTTAGATGTATCCTATAGCAATAGAAAGGCTCATAGTGTTGAGTGACTTGCATTTTATTGTATATTAAAAAAATATAGCCTTGAATCAAATACTACCATTTGATCAATTTTTGGTCTTTATAATCCTCAAATAATCAATAAACTTCAAAGATTTGTTTATGAAAAGTTTTCTTTATGATATTCTATTATTTTTCAAATGGAATCACTGGCTGTCTTATCAGAAAATTTGCAAAATAATGCAAAAAAAAGAGGAAATATTATATTGTAGTTTAAAACGAAAACAAGAGAAAATTGATATCTTGTTGCGTGAAAAAGATAATAATAATAGCCAAAATATTCATTTTAGAATTCATGTTGAGTCTAATGGAAAAATATTGTCTTCTAAACAGACACAGGTTCTGATATTAAAAAATTTTGAACATAAACAAATTATTTATTCCCAAAATAAAACAATCAAAAAATTGAAAGAAAAAATTACTACAATAAATAATAAATCTGAAAATACCATTGAAACTGATGATATAATTGTACTTAATGATGCAGAAATTTAAAAATCAGTGGAAAAAGAATTTGAAGAAAAAAGTTTAGAATCAGTTATTTTTATGAATATCTCGCAATATTTTTCTATACCTCTTTCAATACCTTATTCTAATTGTATTGATATTATTGCATCAAATCGAACATTTTACACCAAAGTATTGGGATTTAATGTATCTTGTATTATTATATGTCATCTTTGCAAAACATTAATGCAATATTCAAATGAGGATTCAAGAGTAAAGTATTCTAATTTAGTCACAGGAGCAGCACTTGCTGGAAGAATAAATAGAAATTCTTTTCAGACAGTATTGGCTACAATTGGAATAACTAACCAATGTAATGAAAAATCTTTTTATAACTATAATATAATTTTACGTGAAACTTTAGATAACTTGGAGTCAGCTCATTTACTAGGTCAAGAAAAAGTACTATTTGTAGGCTTTGACTGTTCATGGTTATATACCCATAATACACATTAGGCTAACAGAAAGTTCTTATATTTGTATGACCTTTCTAGTATATAAGAAATATTGTTATTGATGCTAAATAAATTACTAATTAATTTATTTAATATATTTACCAGAGTATAATTATCAACCTATAATCAGATTTCATACAGTAGAACATTCTCATGTGATATATAAATCTGAAAATGATTCTTTAAAAATAATTTATAATGGAAATTTTAGTAGAACGTCAAAACAAATGGAGTGTGCAATTTTACTTGTACTACTCAATGATATAATGCCTATATTAGAACAAACTAACTTTACCTTACATGTACAGTATGTGTAAATGACAATCTAAAAATAAATAGAACTTTAACATGTATACATGCAGTAGGTCGTATCTTTGCTAATCTGAAGCATATGTTATATGTATAAGCAAAAATATTTGAAAGAATTTAAGTAAGTTAATATATTTATAATTACTTATAACATTACATTTTATAAATAATAAAAATTTTTTAATTTGTTTAATAGTGAAAAAGCAATACTCATGTTGGCATCCTTTTAAACAATACATTATGCAATATTTTAATTTTTGTATATTTAGTGCTGGATTACAAAGAAAGATAATAATACACCAATTGAAAAAGAAACACAATATATACAAGTAAAAGGTTTAATTTGGCATTTACTTGATGATCATAGTATATATTAGAGTAATATTTGTTGAATTGGATAAAGGATAATCCAGAGCTGCAATTACAAAATCCAACTTTAAAAAATTATATCCGAACTGAAATTGAAAATTTATAAAGTATTATCACTATAATTTTTCGTGTACCATCTGGGTAAAGACTTATAACTACACTTTGCACTTTACATAATAAAACATTTAACAGAAAGATTCTTAAGTATTTGGATAAACAGATTGATTATTGGGTATCTTATAGTACTCGATATGCACTAGCAGTTCTTGATCAGAACGAAGGATTAGATGTTATGATTTCTAAAGTTCATACAGCAATTACTAAAAAGAAATTTTCACATTTTAACATATGCAACATACTGAAATTTGTAAAGGAAAGATCTCAGAAGGTTTTTAGAATTATAATGAAATTTAACAGTGAAATGACTAATGAGGCAAGAAAAGAAAAATTTGCCAATGGCAGAAAAGAATTTGCTGGTTTAACTTTGATAAGGTAATGTTTTATTTAGCATTTTTCATTTATCTTATGAAATACTTATTTAAATATTTATTATAGGAATTAGTATCATATAAAAGTAAAACATCTGATCAAATTCATAAAGACATATTCTGGCCATCATTTGGTAATATTTTAAGAGATTTTGACATAATAGTGAAATGTGTTGCATGTTATGCATTTGTTAAAAAAAGTGCATGTAATTTGTAGCATATGTTCATTTTATGTAAATGTAGGTTCGTAGAAATGAATCATTAATGATAAATATATACCTAAAGGATAACAACCAGAGCCACTTATAATGGAAATGCTAATATCACATTATCATTTGTCACAAAAAACACTTTTGGATTTGATAATTTTCAAGAAGGCCAGAAACCATCAGATAGAAGCAATAATTGCTTATTTAAATGGTAAAGATACATTTGTATCTATGAAAACAGGTAGAGGTAAAACTCTATGTTACACTATATCAACTATTTGTTTTAAAGGATTGACTATTGTTTTTAGTCCTTTCAAAGCACTTATGAACGATTAAAAGGTAAAATTTAGTCAATTCAGTTACATTATATTTTATAACTTATAACTTTCTTTATTTTTAGTAAGAACTCATAAATGCAGGTATTCTATACGCTACCTTATATACCAATTTAATATAAGGAGCAAGCATCTAAGAAAAGATTTTTGAAGAAATAGCGTATAGATTGATAAAAATACTTTTCGTTATACCTGAAAAATTAGCCTTCAACAAAGGATTTTGTAAATTTATTACACGAATTTATGAGCAGAAAAAGGTTCAATTTGTAATTGATGAAGCACACTGCATTCTAGCATATCAAGATTTCAGATAATACAAAAATAATCTATTTTGGCAAAATATAGTTGGCAACTCTGATCACCATGGTGATAGGACTCCGCTTACTTATAATAAAGGTCACCGTAGAAAATTGGCCCTTTACTAATAGTTTTTACCTTACTTTTTTCTTAAATTCTATTGGTTAATTAGCTAAAAAGGAAAAAAATCATAAGGG